TGCAGGCAACACATGGAGCCCAGAGGAGAAGCCAAGGCCAGTGGAGATGCCACCTGCAGTCATGCCTTTGCTGAGGGCAGTCATGGATACAGGCCATTGTGGGCCATTTGTCCCCGCGTTGTCCTCTCCGAGTTGGATGCCTCAAGTAGCACAAAGCGAGCCTGGAGGGGCCTCCAGTTGGCACCTTAACTCTGTAGCCCCTGGCCCTTTCTCACTTGTACAGTTCTGCTGCTCCTGGCTGCTGGGGGGGTGACTGGGGGGTACAGAAACTGGGGACACACCAATTGCACTGATGCTTTCTGCAAATGTGAGCACATGCACTGCCAAGAGCTTTTTGCTCTTCAGCATCACTTAGATCAGGGTCTCCATGAATTTACGTTTGCCTGAGGAGACCAAAAGCAGGGACCGGTTTCTTGTCCAAGCAAGGAGGCCCCGCTGTGAGCTGTTGGTGGCAGAGTGAGGGGCACAGCGCGGTGCCCAGGCTGTCGGTGGCAGTGAGTGGCACAGTGCGGGGCCCAGGCTGTCGGTGGCAGTGAGGGGCACAGCGCGGGGCCCAGGCTGTTGGTGGCAGTGAGGGGCACAGCGCGGTGCTTGAGCTGTTGGTGGCAGAGTGAGGGGCACAGCGCGGGGCCCAGGCTGTTGGTGGCAGTGAGGGGCACAGCGCGGTGCTTGAGCTGTTGGTGGCAGAGTGAGGGGCACAGCGCGGGGCCCAGGCTGTTGGTGGCAGTGAGGGGCACAGCGCGGTGCTTGAGCTGTTGGTGGCAGAGTGAGGGGCACAGCGCGGGGCCCAGGCTGTTGGTGGCAGTGAGGGGCACAGCGCGGTGCTTGAGCTGTTGGTGGCAGAGTGAGGGGCACAGCGCGGGGCCCAGGCTGTTGGTGGCAGTGAGGGGCACAGCGCGGTGCTTGAGCTGTTGGTGGCAGAGTGAGGGGCACAGCGCGGGGCCCAGGCTGTTGGTGGCAGTGAGGGGCACAGCGCGGTGCTTGAGCTGTTGGTGGCAGAGTGAGGGGCACAGCGCGGGGCCCAGGCTGTTGGTGGCAGTGAGGGGCACAGCGCGGTGCTTGAGCTGTTGGTGGCAGAGTGAGGGGCACAGCGCGGGGCCCAGGCTGTTGGTGGCAGTGAGGGGCACAGCGCGGTGCTTGAGCTGTTGGTGGCAGAGTGAGGGGCACAGCGCGGGGCCCAGGCTGTTGGTGGCAGTGAGGGGCACAGCGCGGTGCTTGAGCTGTTGGTGGCAGAGTGAGGGGCACAGCGCGGGGCCCAGGCTGTTGGTGGCAGTGAGGGGCACAGCGCGGTGCTTGAGCTGTTGGTGGCAGAGTGAGGGGCACAGCGCGGGGCCCAGGCTGTCAGGGCTGCTGCTCCCAGGCTGTGGGAGAACTGCAGAAGGCTGAGGAGCCACCATGCCCTCTCCTGCTGCCTTACAGTCCTTTTGCACCATGCGTTAGCTCTGCACAAATGTTCATCACAGTTGTGCTGCAGGAGTTTTTTTCTCCAGCTTGTACCTGTTAAACTACGTGTTTAGAAGCAGTTTCTGCACATCGGTCTGCATTTCTGCAGGCAGAAAGCCTTGCACAGTTGACACCGCAGACAGAAAGCTACAGACCATTTTGGAGTAAATTTTTCCCCTAAATGGCATTCAGAATAGAGACAGTTTATCTTCAGTCTGCACGATGAATATAGTGTAATTTACACAGTGCAGGCGAAGAACTGTAACATATTATAAAATGTAGTTGTACAGATCAATCTAATAAAAATCAGGAGCAAGCATTCTCCAATAGACATCCAGACAGGCGTAGAAAATCTTTTCAATATATCATAGCATAGATATTGAACTTAAATGTTTTATGAAGATGGTGTTCCAAAGATGTGTGCAGAACTGCTGGATTAACAGTAATACAAGATGAAAATGGAGGTTTAAAAAATAAACCCCACACATGATGAAGAGCAGGAGAGACCCTGGTGGTTGTTCAGCTCCCGTTGTGCCGCCGAGGCTGGGCTGGACGTTGTACCTCAGGGTGACTCCCCATCACCTGGGCGCCTCTGGAAACGACAGCAGCTCCCAGCTCACTGTGTCCTCACACCCCTTCCCTCGGAGCAGGGCTTGCTGAGACCTCCACAGGCTACGGCAATGGGGTAAACCCTTCCCCTTACCTTTTGTGCCGTAAGTGGATGAACGAAACTATGGTATGCACAGGGTTCAAACTCCCAAAACCTGTGCAACGTGTGTTTCGGTTCTTACTCATGGGCAAAAGCAATTCCCTTTATGCCATAAAACTCTTGATGTATTTCACCCTTCTGCTTTGGGTTACTTTTACGTTGTATTTTTGATTGTACTGCAGAATATGAAGACTAAGGTTATAAAATGAAATAAGCAGAAGGACTCTGGTTTTCCCGGGCAACACTGAGGATATTATTAGCACTTAAAAGAGGAGGCAAAAGAATTTATTTTAATCATCAACCTGAAAAAAAATGTTGCCAAGACCAAAGAAGAAGTGGAATCCAGCGCAGCAAGAGAGAGCAGTGACTCTGGGAACAGACAATCGCAGCACAGTGAGACGAGGACGTGGAGCTGCTTATGGCCACGCAGAGGATTCCTCCTTCACGGTCTGTGCACCTAAAACCTGCAGAGCAAAGTGCGTTCAAGCAGCAACGTGGTAGTTACACATCATAATGTAAAATTACTCTTTCAAAAAAACCCACTTGCTGTTTTCAATCTCTGCTGTGGCTCAAAACTAAAATATTCATGTCTAATTTTGTCAATGGATAGTTTTTACAGTGATTATTTCTATGAAGACAATCTTCATTGTGCTTTCCCGACAGCCTGGCTCTAACCCATCCATCATCCACCCTGTGGTCCAGGTGGTCCAGAGCAACATCTCCTTCCCAGTTTGTGATGATCTTGTAGCTGCATTTAGTGTCTCATTGCTCCCGTCTCCTGGGCCGTGGATACTTTCAGACAGCCCCGTTCAGCTGCCCACGTTTCAGACTCTCCCGTATCACCTCCTTCCAGTCGTGCTGCCTGAGCTGGATGGCTCCAGAAGAGAAGGCAGGGGACAAACCACCTCATCTCACCGGCTTTGGAGGAGCAGATGGAAACAGAGGTGCTTTCAGACAGGTCGCAGCAAGAGAGGGGCACGAAATACCCTGGGTGGAAAACGTGAGAGTCCTGCTTGGCACAGGGGTCTGCAGGAGGGCTGTATGCCCAGGCTGCCTTTCGGGTAATGTCACTCACCTGAGGCTCAGCTTGCTTTCCAGCCTTGATACGCAGGACATGCCATCTATTTTTAAAGGTGAAGCTCAGGTCCAAAATGTGGCATCTGTTTTCTACGTACAGAGCCTATGAATTTCCAGTGAACCCCTTCCACAGCCACCGGCAGGCTCTGAGGGCACCTGCTCCACCCGGTGTGTCTCCTCCGGCCTCCTCTGCCTCACGCGGAGCAGCTCAGATGGGGGCGATTTCAGCTCAGGGACCAGGATTTGGGTGAGCTGCCGCGGCCCAATACATGAATTATTTCCTTTTCACTTTGGCCATGTTTGCTGTCTCTCTGCCAACTCCAGAGGTTACGTGGTGACCTGTGGGGAAGAGGAGCTTCTTTCTCCCGTGGGATTTCTCTCTCCCTCCGGCAGCTCCAGACACAGAGACTCAGGACCAGCCATTCCCTACAGCACCTTCAGTCGCCCCGAGCAATGGCCAGGACACACGGGGGCTACCGAAGCTGTAGCTTTCACGTAAAGAGAGATGAGGATCTGGGAGCTTCAAACATCAGTGATGTCCATGGGAAACAGGAAAGTGCAATTTTTTCGGGGCTATTCATGTACCACAGCAGTGGAGGTGGAGGAAACATGCACTTTTTGGGATGCTCGCCTGAAAAGGAAGCAGAGACGTTGCAGACGGCGAATGAAGGGGCACTGAAATGAAGGGGCAAATGCAGGAGAACGGGTTTTGCCTGCACTTAGGTGAAACTTTGTCAAATCTGTTTCTTCCTGAAAGTAACGTTATCCATTGAATGACAGGCTGAACTAAATGAAAACCAACAGGACACCAAGACTGAAGTCAACACACTATTATATCGCAGAGACTTTGGTGGAAGTATTTCAATTAAAGGCCTTTGAGTAAGAGAACTGCCATTAAAAAGCATAATTTCTGCCACGTGACAGCAGAATTCGTTGCAGATCCACTGTTGTGCCTTCTGCTCGGAGCCCCCCTGTGAAGGGTGGGAGCTCTCCTTGCCCAAGGGTAACACAGCCTTCCACGTGGAGCTCAAGTTGCATTTTGAAGAATGTGTGATGGAAGCTTGTCAAATGGATCAAGTCTTCAAACAATTTCACCGGCTTTAAATCTCTGTGGAGTGTTCAGTCGCAAACCTGGACTCTGTCCATCATTTTCCACGTGGGTTCTCCAAAGAGTTCATTCTACTTAGGAAGTGCTGAGATCAGAAGCTTTGTAAAGCTTGTTGTTTACTTTGGAGAATTTCTGTGGGGAAAAGTAAGATTTTGCTGGATCAAAACACATTATTATGTTTTTGATACTAAGCGTTTTAGCACTGAACATTTTTCTGTTGAATGCATGAAGTGTTTTTTTCCCTTTGTTTTTTTTTTTTCCTGTGAGTTGTAACTGCTGTGTAGTCCCCAGCCTGGCTGACAGGGTGGCAGAGACACCTTCTCGAGAGCGTGCTCAGCAAACACTGTCACTGTCAGCCCGTCTGCATTTCAACTGCATAAAGGTTATTAATAAGACAATTAATTTCTAACAGTTTGCCCTAACAAGGATCATCTGGTTGCAGCCCACTGCAAGAAGAGAGATTCCTTCTGTGTTATTGAACAGTAACGCTCCCGTGGGATCGCAGTTGGTGGGGTGTCTGGAGGAAAGGCTCTGCTCTAGGGTCACAGTTGGTGGGGTGTCTGGAGGAAAGGCTCTGCTCTAGGATCGCAGTTGGTGGGGAGTCTGGAGGAAAGGCTCTGCTCTAGGTGCTCGTCCTGACTCTGGTTCTTGCTCTGCTTTCAGAGGCCGGCAGCAAGAAGCTCAAGAGCACGATTCAGAGGAGCACAGAGACGGGGATGGCAGCAGAGATGAGAAGCCGAATGGTCCGACAGCCGAGTCGGGAATCCACTGACGGCAGCATAAATAGTTACAGCTCCGAGGGCAAGTAAGTGGCATTAAAAATATCAGTAACTTAGGAGACGTTTCTTGTCTTTGTAAGAAAACTTGGGATGTGAACAGAGGTCCTGGCTCTGGCTGAACAGGGTAGCTCTGGATATGGATTCTTCCTTTTGAAACGTCTGCAAAACTGACCTGCTTTAGGCACATAAGACAAATTTCTTGAAAACTGAAATTGAGCGAGGACTTCTTTAGGGCTTCACGTTTTCCCCATCACCCAGTGAGGCCTTTTGTTCATCAAAAGACAACTAAATTCAGAGCGCATTACTGAAAACAAAACACAGACGTACTTTTTCTTTGAGTTGTGTTTGGTTTAACTGGGAGTTAAACTTCAGATGCTGTATGTAAATCCCTGCGACATGAAGCTGTGCTCGGTAATACTGTATACAGAGAGAGTTTGGTTTGGAGTCGGTCCAGGCCTCTTGTTGAGAATCGTAAACCCACCACGGAGCTGCCCCCTCCCAGCTGAAATCGGGCAGAAAACGATGGGGAACAGGGCAGCTGTTTTCATTCACCCCCCAGTGAGGTGGTGTGTGAGAATGGAGAGCAGGCAGACCCAACACCACAGCGTGTGGGGATGCTCTGGCCTCCTCACAGCCTCGGTGGGACTCCACCACTCCGCCGAGGCACAGCGGGCACTAGGGAATTCCTGGGAGATGCCAGGGGTAAGCAAACCCACCCTATAGACCTGGGGGAAAAAGAGACTGGAACACAGAAGCCTGATCTGTGGAAATCAAAGCTTTTCACACTAGGTGTTTCTCTTAGGAAGTGGTGTTATTATTTTCTCCAGCCTAATAGGGAGGGAGAAGCAGATACGGCGTGGTGGGTGACCTCCTGGGGAAGGTGCCATCTAGACTTGGTTCAAAGTCTGTTCTTCTGTTCCTCATAATTGTGATGAGGAGGTCAAAGCTGAGTCTCCCCACCATGGATCATTCTTTGTTTCTTTCGTTGTTGTTCGGAGGCTGTACATGTAGAGACTCTGGAATACAAGAAAGCAGCTTGGGAAAGCACGTACCACAGAATCATAGAATAGTTTGGGTTGAAAGGAGCCTTTAAAGGCTCCAACCCCCTGCCATGGGCAGGGACATCTTCAAGTAGAGCAGGTTGCTCAGAGGAATGTCCAGCCTGACCTGGGATGTTCCCATATACTCCGTGCTGATGTATTACAGCTGTGTTTGTGTCCTGAAAGAGGGGTGGGTACCGACTGTAGATCCAGATGTGGCTACCAGAATATTTTGGCTAGGGAGCAGCATTAGTTTGGCTCTAATCAACACTAGTACTACCTGCCAGTTTACTGCTTCATTAAACAGCTGCAAAATCAGATCAGTTTAGTGTACACATCTGTTTTCCCTGTTTGTTCTTACTGATGCGGGTGGGGTTTGGATGTATGTATAAAAGTATGTAGATGTAGATGTGTATAAATGTAGATATAAAACAGTATTATAAGGTAAATCAAGCTTTCAAGGATGAAGAATGATCGGCTATTAAATTTCATGAGGCTTTTAATGTTTTCTTGTGCAAGGTCACTCATAGTTTATTCACCTGACAGCTCTTCATGGCTCCTGGAGGACTCCTCAGCAAGAACTGGTTTATTCTCTGGGCTGCTTTGGGTCCATGTGCAGAATTTCACCACTTCTCTTTGGGGTCTGTGGGAGACAGCTCGTTCCTGACGCTGCAGCGCAATGTGTGGCTGCACGTCCTGAGCTGCTTGCCTTGTATCAGTGCTACTTTTGAGGGAAATACACTGCAGGATGATAGAAATTAATGGCGTTCTTATGTTTAACCAGCATTTATTTTGCTGCAGCTTAATATTCCCCGGCGTGCGGCTGGGCGCTGACAGCCAGTTCAGTGATTTCCTCGATGGACTCGGGCCTGCACAGTTGGTCGGCCGGCAAACGCTAGCAACGCCTGCCATGGGTGAGAGTCATGTGTCATTCTGTTAAATGAATAATAAGCCAATTAACGTACACACGCTGCCAGGCTACAGCACCACAAGGACTGGGACAAAGTGGCTTCCTTCGCTGTATCCCCGCGGTGGCTGGTGTCCCCTGCAGGCTGCTGTCCCAAAGAGGGTGAGACACGGTATTTGCCCTGGGCGTGAGGTGTCTGCTCACCTCCTCTGCAGCTCGAAGATAGGGGTCTGGCTTCAGTTCCCACTCTAAATTATTGTGGCTTCTCCAGTTGTGGCTCACTGCGAAATTTCAGCTGTTCAGAGTTTGTATTTCCTTGCCACGGATTATCCTGGATGCAACAGACAGTTTCTGGCCAAGCTTTGCTCTTGTCCTCATGAGCAGGAGACAGAAACTTTCTTGAGAAGGCTTTGAGTACTCCTAAGGCAAGGGTTGCTCTGTAAATCCAAATCATTGCTAATAATGCACCAAATTGATAAACCCATTTTTTAATTATTATTTTGGAAGAGAGGATACTTGTGAGATGACTTCCCAGTAAAAAAATCTAAGTGGCTCTGCCTGTATGAAGATAAGGGTCTAGATGTCTTCTAGCTCCTTATTTTAATCTTGTTTTCTGACTAAATCTTTTTAAGCAGATTACTTGAATAATCTTATTTTCACATCTTATAACTGCTTTATTTACTGAAGGCTCAAGCTTTGGCCTGCAAAAACAGCTCTCAGTCATGTTTTTTAACAATTTTCAGAAGACCTGCCATGTGGTATCCTTTCTTTCACTAGCCATGATTTGAAAATCTTTGTATTACCGCTCCCCCTTCTGGCCCCCTGTTGCATGTTTGATTTTGGATGTGTGATACAGAGACGTGCTTTTAAAAAGGGGTGTTGGAATTTTCCTGTGAGCTATTTTTAGTGCAACACAGAGGTCTGTTTATTCAAGAAAAGTTTGATTGAAAAAAATAAAAAAGTCTTCCCTGCTGCTTTGTTGTGCCTCAAGCACAAACACTGCTTTCAGAGCGGTTGGACGAGCATGTGAAAATCTCCTGCCCAGTTAATTTCAAAATGCTGCCTTTCTCAATCCAAATTCTGCAGTTCAGGACTGTCTATGTGTATGGTGTTCATTTATTTGCACAGGAATCACGTAGCTGCCCATGTGATACTGTGCATTTTATATTCAAAGTGGCCTGTCATATTTCTGCTGATTCCATGATGTCTGAAACCACAAAGATCTAGCGCCTGGAGTTGGCCTCCCTTGTGTTTCACTGATCTGGACCAGAGCAGGGCTCTGTCTGGGGCGAAGCAGGTCCCTTTCCCTGCAGGAAATGTCCTTTGTCAGAGCTCAGGCAGGGAAACAGTTGGACTATTTAGTAGCAAAAGCAGCTCCTTATTTTAAACACGTTGCGTTGGGTTTTTTTTCATGCCAAGAATGAGTGTGGAAATTGTCATTGTCACACCAAGAATGAGTGAGGAAAATTGTCACCCCTGTACTTGTTGGAGACTTTTGCAGAAGAAAAAAGACCTCTTTTGAGCTGCTGGAGGACAGGGCACCATTCTCTGCGACTGTGCTGTGGCTGTGGCTCCCTCTGGTATCAACCCTACACCAAGAGAGGGCACCACGCTCCCTAAGCACAATATATCTTTTATATATATTTTTTATATATATTTATTTAGTGTATATCTATTCAGTCCTGTTTGAAGGACGTTGAACTGAGAGGTCTTGGGAGGAGCGGTGACAAGCAGAGCGATGCAGCAGACTGGGAACAAACCAGTCTTTCTGTTTCTCACCCTCACGCCCTCTCTCCCAGGCCGTGCTGCTTCTCTAAAATGTGGGCTGCTTTCTTCTCCCTCTCAGGTGACATCCAGATCGGAATGGTGGATAAAAAGGGACAGTTAGAAGTAGAAGTCATTAGAGCCCGAGGCCTCACACAAAAACCTGGCTCCAAATCGACCCCAGGTAAGGAAAAAAATAGACAATGTATGAACAGAAAACAAGACTATGAAATATGCTGATGGACTGGGGATTGGAGACTTCTTGAGCTCACTCCTCATTAGCTGCCACTTCATTTGCATTTGTTTGGTTTGCTTCTCGACAAGGGATGTGTGTGTGGGTACATCCTTTCTACCAATGTCCACCCCTCACCACCTTGCACCTGCCAGTCGCTCACCACCAACAGCTGTCCTGGAAGGAACATCTGCAGAAGTATTTCTCCATATCTTAGGCAACCCCTGTATCTCAAAGGGGGTTTGTCGAGGCAGGTGAAGTCCTTTGTGGTAGTTCCACCTGGAAACAAGAGGTGGAGAACCGACGGGAGTGCTTTGACCAAACAGCTCAACAGCCCCATGTGCCAGGATCTCCTGTACCCGGCACTGCTTCCCGCAGGCAGCAGGTTATGGTGGTGACACAGCCAACAATCTGTGTAATGAATGAGATCTAATATTGTATCACTTCATAAGGACATTTTTTAAAGTTCTAGTTATTTATAGAAATCTTTATTAGGACATTCATAATCGCTCCCACAACCAACCGGAGCAGTTGTTTTAGATAACATTTTGCCAAAATGGTCCTTTACAACCTCCTCTGGAGCTTACGATGAAAGAGCGATTACTGGCTGCGTTATCACAGTCACTTAGTTTTAACTATTCCTTTCAATGAAACATCAAAGTATTTTGTTTTGAACTATGTCTGACCCCAAACATCCATCGAGACTCCAGAGTAGCCGTCAGTGACAGTTAATTCCTGGCAAAGGAAAATGTTTTTAAAATGACAGACTTGAAATGCAACTGTTGCTAGTAACATCTTAGATCACTGCATTCAAAGTTCATAACACTCAAATTGGTTTCTTATGGGCTGTGTCGTTTATTTTATGTATATAGTTGTCTCCAGATTACAGAGTGAAGATCATGTGTCATATTCTTTCCACTCGACCTCCTTTTAAGGCGTTTGTCCTCCAGCTCAGATGTGCAATGTAGAAGTTTTTGGGTCCCAACATAAAATTCCTGATGTTCTGTTTGCAGCTCCATATGTGAAAGTATATTTGTTGGAAAACGGAGCGTGTATAGCTAAGAAGAAGACAAGAATTGCAAGGAAGACCCTTGATCCTTTGTACCAACAGACACTGGTTTTTGATGAGAGTCCGCAGGGTAAAGTCCTTCAGGTCAGTTCCTTCTGAATCCCATTTTGGGCTGTCGTTTGGAGAAGCCCTCGCATGAGTTCAGCGTAAGCAATCTGCATACGCTCACTGCAGCACACTGAGCATGGAGTGGTATAAATACCAGCAGACCCATCCCTGCAGCTCTGCGGTCTCAGACCTGCGGAACGTCTGCCTGTATTGAACTTTTCTCTTCTCTGGCTCTCGCTCCTCTTCCACCGTTGGGTTTTCCCAAGGAGGAAACAATCCTTCCCCCTTCAGAACAAGGTTCTCCTGGCGCTACTCGAGGGAGGGCAGCGGGAGCCAACACCTGAGCCTGGGGACGGCACTGACCCTGTGTTTTGTGTTCCCGCAGGTAATAGTCTGGGGAGACTATGGCCGAATGGACCACAAATGCTTCATGGGAGTTGCCCAGATCCTTCTGGAGGAGCTGGATCTCTCCAGTGTGGTAATAGGCTGGTACAAGTTGTTCCCACCTTCATCACTAGTGGACCCCACCCTGACCCCCCTGACGCGCAGGGCTTCCCAGTCCTCTCTGGAGAGCTCCACCGGGCCCCCCTGCCTCAGGTCGTAGCTGCTGTCGGAGGAGAACGTCACCCAGGAACAGCCGGAACCAGACACACCATCAAAAAACTCTGCTGGAGAGAGACAATCGCTTCTCTTTTCGCTTGTAGTAGTTACCCCAAAATATGTCTGAGTTGTTTGGTGAGAGGTGGCTTAAATTGACAGAACGAAGGTCTATCACATACAGCCAGTCTATTCGCGGCTACCACCCATGCTTAGAATGATTTAAAAAATTAAAAAAAAAAAATAAATAGAGAGAGAGACACCTTTAGATTCAACCCGAGTCCAAGATGAGCCAAACTGGAAGCTCTGGCTCTGTTCAGTGTTGGGTAGAGCCCTCACGCAGTGGTACCTCCCTGGGGTTCCAGCAGTTTTCTGTACTTGTCACTTCCACTCGGTTTTTGCCATGTGATTCTGCTAGTTTTGTAGAAGTCCTCGCAGCGCTAACAGAGACCCCTCCTTTCTTTTTCTAATCCAACCAAACAAGGGCTGAAGCACATCTCTGTCAGCACCGCTAAAGTGTTCCGCAGCCACAGGGTGACCCAGCCAGTCCCAACCCTCCCTTCCGGCTCCCCCAAGTCTCTCCCGGGACCCCAGAACAAGCGACCAATCTAAGTTGCATTCTTAAAGAGAAATAATCATCACAGTGCCACTTTTTCTTTGTAAAAAGCAGATATGTTTGCATTATATATAATAACTTTTATGTTTATGATGTTTTGCATGGAAGAATTTTGAAGAATTCTGCAACTACTGCTGGGGACTGGTATAAAGCAACTTTAGTCTTAATTTTGACATTGAATATGTTACTGGTAATGCAGTTTCCCTCCTAGAAACGGGGAGGAAATATTTACGTTTCTGTGTATAAATGTATATTTGACTTCCCAAAACGTTGACCAGGAATGGATTGAGCATATGACACTTTGAGCTGTGCCCGGGCCCCGCTGGCGCGTGTCGCTGCCGACGCACCCCTGCCCCGGACGGAGCACGGATGGAGACGGTCAGTGTTTCACCGGAGACTCCAGGTGAAATATTCTGCACTTACTAATGTTTTTATCAATTTTAGTTTACATTTCTTTGAGACCGATGCAAGCACAAGGCTTGATTTTTTAACGCAAGATATCTTACTTTTTGGAGAAAAAAAAGAAAAAAAAAAGTCAAATTTCAATTTGCTTTTTATTCATTTGAGTCCTTCTTGGCCTTGAAATCCCTTGTGATATTCTGTAAATGTGCGAACAACTGCAGATTCCTGCAGGTGCATCGAGGTGTTTCCCCTCCTTTTCCAGGCCATTCGATTTTGTGATCACACAACCAGAGCAGCATGACTCGGAACTGTTCAAAGCTGCATGCACGTTTTGTAAAAAAGAGATGAAAAAGGTTATTTACTAATGTATGTTAGTTCCACATAGGCCAGCTTGTATGTTGCATGTACTTGTACAGTTTGCTCGTAATTAACTCTACTGAAGTAACCAAGAAATCTAAGCCATCCATTTTTCTTATAGACATTTTGCGGGTTTCAGCCGGGCGCTCCGTGGCTCTGGCGCCAAATGTCTATAGATGGACTTTATTTTTTACCCTCTGGAGAAGGTGACGTAGTAGGGACCAAATTCCTCCCGCCGGCCGCGGGTGCAGCCCCGGCGCAGCAGCTGTGTGCACACCAGGCTCCCCCGTAGACAAACTGCCTGCACCCAGCCCCGCTCCCGCTCGGGGGGTCCCCCTGCCCGCGCCCCCCCGGCCACTGCCCGCCCCGCGGGGCAGGGGGGGCCCGGCGCTGGTGCTCCACCACTAGATCCTCCTCCCTCGTAGTGGCCAACACCGACTAGTTCCGATTGGGTAGCACCTTTCTATTTCGACCACTTGTCTTAACACTCCCCCGTGCTTTTAACTGACCTCCCCGCCCATGTTCTGTAAACATGTTGAATAAAATTTCCTTTTCATGTCCAGTGTGGTGGTTGTGCTCTCTGTATGTTCCGAGGTTCACCTGTGACTCTGCTCGCCGCAGGACCCCGTGACGTGTTACGGGACGGTACAAGGATCGCTGATCTCTAGGGGTTTTTTGATGGCTGTAAGTGTGTGTGGAAATCGGGGGCCAAAAACCCGAGGCCTGGTGAAAGCCGTGTTTGGTTCTCACCCCGGACGGAGCCAAATTGTGCTCTCACTCGCTGACGCAGGCAAATTGAAGCCCAACCCCAAATTTACCCAAAGCACAACGTGGTGAGGTGACACGGGCTGGCGGGGCTGTGGGGGCTCGCAGGGGGGCAGCGGGCAGGGGGGGTCAGACCCCGGCACCACGAGGGGGGAACAGCCCCCCAGCCGGTGCACTCTGCAACCCCAGAAACCAGCCCTTGGGCCGGAGCGCCCTTTCGGACGATGCTTTATAGACGTTCACCTGAGAGCAGAATTTGGCACTAAATTCTACTAGAGAAGCAAAGATTCTGTACTTTGTTTGATTTTTAGTTTTCCGTGTCCCACAGATACCTGATCACAGTTTAAAAATAACATAAAGACGATATTGCCTCACTTTGAACACTTTTGTTTATTACTTTATTTATCTGAATACATGGTTAAACTACTGAAAAAAAAAAGAATAATTAAACATGGTAAATCTCTGAACAAAAGGCATGTTATATTTCTGCTTCTGTGTGGCGGGAGTGATCTGTTCAAATACAGAATTCATCACACTGTTGCAAAAAGCCCCCAGTCTCATAAATCTCATGGCTTCAAGCATCATGTCCAATATTAGGAGATCTTCTCCCATCTGATCCTGAGCAATAAATGAAGTTCAGCATTTCTGATTGGCCCCTGGAGCACAGAAAACGTGGCAGCAAAAGAAGAGGCTGAGCTGTATCGTTTGCGGGGTTTCTGATGAGCGGGGAACACGTGCGCAAGGATTTGGGGAGCGCAGCAGCAGCCCCCGCCAGGACAGACGTGTCATCTCCTTCCCAGGGACTCGTTCCTGTCTTTAGAACCCTGTGCTGAGTGTTGGGATTATAACACACAGACCCAGCAGGAAACCTGGGGCACAACTGCTTGGCTCCTGTCTTTCTGACCGAAAGCCTCCAGAAGCAGAGGAGCGGGCACCTCCTGGAAGCCTGGCAGACGACAGCAGATGATCTCCCCGAGGGCTGAGGGACTCCAGCGCTGGGAAGAGACCCTCTGGAGGCAGCAGGGCTCCTCGAGAGACGTGACGTGCGGCTGGGAGTTACCCAAGAGAGGAACAGTAAGTTGATGGCACAAATGGTCTTTGAGTTGCTCTTTTCCCCGTCTCAAAAGGCACACAAAGGCCGTCACTGCTGGGAACAGGGAGTGTCAAGGACCTTCTCACAGGCAGCTCCAGAGCAGCTCGTTAACCTCTCTTGCTTCTTTTCACCTGGTAGGAAAAAGGCCCCCAGATCTGGGAGACAGCTGAAGCACGGTGCCTGCTCTCCTACAGCGTGTAGGAAATGCTGATCCCCCCTCCCTTGGAGAGCCCAGTTTGGGGCCGGGGCTCAGCTCCGTGTCTCTGCTCCGGTGCTGCCAGCACCTCACTGGATTCCTAAGCCTGTTGGAGGAAGAGACCAGCATTCCTTAACCATTCAGGGTATGACCCAAAAAACCCCCAGCCCTCAGGCCTTTTTTGTGGAAACACAGAGGGAAGAAACCCACCCATTTTCTTTTGTTGGAGAGCTTGAGACAGAATTCAGTCAGAGAGGCCCCAGCCTGCAGCGCTACCCCCACCATCCTTCCCCCCGGGACACAGGAGGAGTGCCTGGGTGGGTGTCTGTCTGCCCACTCGTGTGGTCTCCACAGCAGAGCCCAAGGTGTGCAGGAGGCAGCGGTACGTGGCCAGGGCAGGAGCCGCTCTCCAGGGCTCAACCCTTTCTTCTCCAGGTGGGTATCTCCCCCAGCACACCCTCAGCCCTGCTCTCCCACCGCTGCTCTGCCCGACCCCAGCCCGGAGCTGGAGCTGTTGTCTCCAGAGAGAACCTGCTGGATCCAGCAACATGGACATTTCTGCAGCAACTGGGGGAAAGCGGGGGGGCTCTGGATCCCCTCACCTCTCTGGGGCTGGTCTGAGACCCCTCTGCCCCGCGTTGTGTATCTCGTACAACCGTGCATTCACTATGGACTCGGGAATTGCTTCGGCTGGGCTGAAAAAGTGGGAATTTCTGCACCGATTTCAACGAGAGCTACCCAAGGTGCGTTTGTGAGCAGAGGTGGCTGGTGCGGGGGGCGCGGGGGGCGCGGGGGGCTCCCCCGCTGCTGGCAGCCCCGGGGGCCGCAGGAGCGGCAGGCAATCCCCGCGGGGCAGCGCCCGGGTGTCCCTGCCGGGGGGCGCGGAGCCCCGGGGGGACGGGGCAGCGGGGGCACCGCCGGCCCGCCCGCGGGTCCCTGCCGAGGGGACGTTGCCCGGGCCGCAGACGGGCCTCGTTTTTCATTTTTGCCAGCCGTATGCCCTAACGAATAGCCCCGGCGGCCGGGACTGCCCGGAAAGCCGCCCGGCCGGGGCGCGGGGGGGTCCCGGGGCGGCCCGCGGGGAGAGCCGGTGCCGGGGCCGAGGCCGGGCACCACCCCCGCCCCGCCGCCGGGCACCCGCAGAAAACCCTCCCCGGGGCGGCCGTTTCGTGCGCGGCACCCGCTGCCTGCGGCGGAAAGGGGCAAAAACCCTTCAAGGGCCTTATTCGGTGAGGGAGCCGCCGCCGCCCGGGGCCTCCCGGGGCCGCCGCTTCCCCCGCCGCTTCTCCCCGCTGCGGCCGCCGGAGGGCGCCTGCTCCCCGCGGGCGGAGGCGGCCCCTCGCCCCTCAGCCCGTCCCGCCCCGCCCCCCCGCTTCTCCCGGCCCCGGGCCCGAGTGCTGGGCCCGCCTGCCCGGCCTCCCCGCCGCCGGGACCGGCCTCCCTTGGGGCGCGGAGCGGCCGCCGCCGCCCCCCGGGACTGACGGAGAGGCCGCGGCGGTTCCCCCGGCTGGGCGGTGACAGCCGGTGCCGGCGGTGACAGCGGGCGGGCGGCGCTCGTCTGCTCGGCTTCGCGTACAAGCTCTCAAAACAGCCGAAACCGGGAAGTTTTGCAGGAGAATTCATGAAGCACAGAGAGAAATGGTGCTTGTGCTCCAGAGCCTGCCCCTTCCCCGGCTCCGCCGCGCCTGCGGGCCCGCTGGGGGCATGCGCTGGGGGGTCCCGCTGGGGGGACGGGCTGGGGGGATGCGCCGGGGGGACCCGTTGAGGGGATGCCGCGCCGCCCCGGGGCGCGGGGGAAGCGCCCCTGCCCCCGGTCCCGCGCTTTTGGCGGCGGCGGCTGGGACAGAGCGGTACCGGGTACCGGCCGGTGGGCTGGCAGCCCCCCGGTGTGTGTCCCGGGAGCTCCAGCGCCGTGCCCACTGCGCTCCTCTGGCTGCCGCATGGAGCTGCCCGTCGGGAGGATTCCTTGGACCCAGCGAAGGCTGGTGCTGGAGCGTCACTGAACTTTGATGCTGACCTGTTTGGGGAGGAAAAAGGAGGACTTGGTGCTGGCAGGCAGAGGGGTTCGGTGTCGCAGGTGCTGCTCAGGGAGAGGTCCATCAGGGGGGCAGGTCGGGGAGGGTGCTGCTCAGCCACAGAGGACCAAAAAGCAGCTAAAGCAGTTTGGGGGAGCAGGTTCTAATTTGATACCTGAGCCATAAAAAAAACCCAAAAAACCTTTCAACACCACGAAGGAACTTAAGCAGGGAACTGCACAGGACTGTTTTGTGTGGCCCCATATCGCTCCTGTGGTGTTTAAATTGCCAAGTGAGTGGATTAGTGTTGGTGCCTGCAGCTCAGCAGCCTCCCCGGAGAGCCAGTGTGGGGCTGTGTGGGGGCTGGCCCGGCACCGGGACCCTCACGGCCGGCTCGGGGCTGGGGGTGAGCAGGGGCCCAGCCCCATGGCCGGCACTGCAACTGCCCAGCTCTTGGGGGCTGGCAGCGCTCGGCCACGGTCCAGGGCTCCAGACCCAGGCGTTGGGAGAGCAGACAGGGAGCGTGGCCAGAAGAACGGCTCTGGGGTCAGGGGACAACAGGCTCGGCTGCCTCCTGCGAGTGACAGCCCCGCTTTGGCAACGGGGTCCTGCCCAGTGGCAACCAGGGGGGTGCTCACTTGGTGTGAAGGGCTTCAGAAGATGGCTGGCATGGAAGCCTGCGGCTGTACAAACTACCATTGCTCATGTTAGCTGGCGTGGCAGGGCAGCTGCACGTAGTGGCAGCCCAAAACCTCCCACCTTCGGCCCTGGCTTGGCATCTCCTGAGGTTCTCCTCTCCCCGCCAGGCAGAGGGGCTCAGCAGAAGCTGTCCCTGCCATCTCAGCAGAAGCTGTCCCTGCCATCTCCCCCAGGCTCCTGGGGCAGAGGCTGTTCCAGGGGAGGTGACTGGCCTTGAGTCCTTTGGCAGTGCCGGGGTGCCAGAAGGCAGCTCAGGCCGGAGGCTGGCATGGCTGGCAGCAGCCCTTGGCCTGCTGTAACATGCTGTGCAGCGGGGAGAGCTGCCGGCAGCCCTGCCTCCCTGGGTGCTGTGCCCCAGCCCGCGGGGGGCCGGCTGCCCCCCAACCAGCACCCCGGCAGGCAGCGAGGGGGCCGCGGCCTCCTGGTGAGGGGCTGGCTGGGGGCTGGGGGCTGAGCAGGGCTGGCTCAGGAGCTGACAGGGCACCAAGCCCTTCAGATGCACATTCCTGAGCCCAATCCTCCCCTGTGGGGCGTTCCATGGCTGCCACTCCCAGGCTTCCCCTCACCTTAATTAGCTCTTCCTTGGGGCCCGCGCTGTGTGTGTGCTCCTGCCAGCAAGGGCTGCCTCTTCCAGTATGATCCTGGCTTGGGGCTACAGCTTTTTTCCCGGTGCCTAAGTGCAACGCCTGTGGGTATTAGGAGAGGGCAAGAGTGTGCTTGTTCCTTGCACGCAGAACAGGGCGCTGCATCTGCCTGGCCAGGGCTGCCGTAACCCCTTCGCACCCACGAACCGGC